AACCAAGAGAGTATGTAAAGGTGCATATCTCCAATGATGAATGTCATTATATTGTACACCTAAAATGTACCAATAAAAGGATATACAAAAAAAATCGAAATGGGGTGCTCAGGGCATGATATTCCCCATCACTAAATGCTACTTCTGGGCTCCTCAGATCTTAGGAGTCACCCGCGTTTTGTGCAATCCAACTCCAAAACAGAGGCACCTCAAAACCTGGGTCATTGACTCCTGGACCACAAATAATAGCACTCAAGGATCTGCACCTGGGCTCATCTCCCTGACTCTCTGTTAGGGTGCTGCCCTGCCAGAGGAAGCCCGACCTTCACCAAGTCTTCCAGGGGCAGGAAGTTAAGCAATGTGCTCCAGGTAAATGTGGGACAGCTCTTAAGTATCTGGCTTTAGATGTAGACCCAAGAGAAATCAGAGACATGTCCCTGGATGCCAGGTTTAGGTAAGTGGGGAACATACTCTGGTATCCTGCTTACAGGAGCAGGATTAGAAAAGTTGTCTTCTGATTTGGCTATATTCAATTTTTTTTTATTATAATTTTAAAGCTCTACTGTTTTTGCCTGGCTGGGATCAGCCTTCTCTGTGTTTCATGGAGGATTTCTGTGGTTTGGGCCTCACAGCACCAGAACCTGCTCCTCAGGAGAAAATGGAGCTCGCAGCTTTGCAGGTGACAGTGGGGCAGAGCCCAGTGGTGTCCCATGGAGACAGGAAGGGGAAAGCAGCCCCATAACATGCAGGAAATCAGGGACTGAGAGGAATGGAGACAGGATGAGGAGTGAGAGGTGAAGAGCTCTCTGGGGCAAACTTGCTCCTTCCCGTGTGTGGTAAGTGCTCCCTCTCCAGCCATGTCCAACTCCATTCTGCAGTTCCCAAAGCTGGGGAAGAAGCTGCAGTCCACATCCCTGATGTGAAGAGCAGGGAATGTCCAGGCCCACAGGGGCAGCCAGGACAACTGAGGACCTTAGCCTGTGTCCCTCCCTGTGACTCCAGGCCCTGCCCCTCTGCACCAGACACAGTCCAAGTGTCCCTTTTGGACCTATGCAGTCTCTAAGGCCTCCATCAGCAAGTCTCCCCCTCTGCCTTCTGTCCCCAACAGCGCCCATGAACCAAGCCCACCCAGACAGTCCTGGGTCCTTTCTCCACTCTCACCATCTGGCTCATCTTTACTTGAGCAGTGCTCTTTCCTGACTACATCCTGTATCCACAGTGGCTCCTCTCATGCTCAGTGAATGGTTGCTGGATGAGTAAACTCAGCAAGAAGCTGGACAGGCACACTAAAGGTAGAGCAAGAGTGTGCTAAGGCTGCCGAGGCAGCCTTCATGTGTGGTCACTCAGCAGGACCCAGCTATCCTGGTCTCAGAGGTGACACAGGTAGAAAATGCTGTGGAAGCTACCATTCAGCTCAGAAGGCCAGAAGCTTCAGGATGTGTGCGGTGTGTGTCTTCTCTCATCCAAAGACATTTTTATCCACCCAAATTGTATGGAATCCCATCCAGTCCTCTGTGACTATGTCTCAGTTGCTTTCTCACTGTGAGACACAATATCCAACACCTGCAACTTTAATAGAGGCTTATTTTGGCTCATTTTTTGGGCCATAGTCAACTGGCTCTAACACAGGGCGGCATGGCAGAGGTGCCTGGTGGAGGAGATCTGCTCACAGCATGGCAGACCGGAAGCAGAGATCATGAAGGCAGGAACAAGGAAGGGAGATACACCCTTCTGGGTCTTGATGACTTGTACCCTTAGACCAGGCCCCATCTCCCAGAGTTACATTTAGCTATAAAGTCACCAGTAGAGGAATCCACTGATGACTATCATGCTCCAGGATCAATCACCTCCCCAAAGTCCCACCTATGAGCCCATGAGGCTTGTGGAGGACATACAGATGTAAATAATAACAGGCAGTTTGCTTTCCTATTTATGGACAGATGGTTTGCCATGGTCATGATTGCTTAGCAGCACTTACATGGCACTGTGTGCCAGGAACTGGTCTGAGCACTGAAGAACCCTAGCTGGGTGTTCTTCATCAGGGCTCTCCCATATGGCCACTGTAAGTCTGCATCACCCATGGGAAAGAGACATCAACACTTCCCTGGCCAAGAACGCAGAATCAGGGAACCAGGTCCAGAGCCGGATTCAGGTCCAGCCTGGGCAGTGGCTCCAGGAGATAAGGTTCCAAACACAGCATCAGGGCACTTTTGCTCCTGGACCAGCCTCCAGCTAGCATACACACTGCTGTGAAGTACGTCTTCTAGCAGATGTGTCCTGCTCCTCACAGCAAAATGTTCCACATGAACATCCCTGTCCCAAATGCTGCATTGAAAAGAGGGGGTATTTCAGCCAGTGAGTGATCCTAGGAAGAAATGGGTGACTTAGTGTGACCCCAAGTTCGTGCTTGTCACACTCAATCCATGGAGTGCTTCCTGTGTAAACACACAACGGAAATCATGAGCAAGTATAACATGAATGACCTGAGAAGCAACTCACACAGCTCTTCCTGACACTCGGGAAAGAACACCACCAAGGCAACTCCTGGACCTCCTCCAGCGCACCAGGCTGAGAGTCTACAAAGGAAACACATTTGCTAAGGTAATGGCAGAGCTTAATTTAATGCTATCTAACTCTTGGAGAAGACTACCAAGTCTCTTAACAAACAATATTTCATCCTGCCATTAAGTTGTTATAATTACTTAGGATTGGACCAGATGGCAGATAATTTCTGAAGTAAGACCAGGTGTTGGAGAAGCAGAGATAATAACAAAGCTGATGACTGTGGAGAAAGTCATTTAAAAACCTGGAACAGTGGCACAGCGGTGCTTCCCATGAAGACCGAGCACCCCTCAAGAAAAAAGAAGGGCAAGAAAAAATTGCTGCCTTATGAATGTGCATCTAACTAAATGCAGGGGTGGACATAGTGCTCTGTCCCTCTGACCCAGGTACCAAGCTCCACATTGGTCAGCAGAGGCTCTCTGGTGCGATATCTGCTTGGGACTTGAGAAGGCACAGCAGCAATAAACACTGAGAAAGGCTCAAAATAGCATCGTGGCGGAAAGTGTCAACTCAAATAAATCTCCGACCTGGATACAATCTTCATTTCTCACATCCTAGTCCCATGTGCAGTAGTGTGGATTTCATGGTCACAGCTGGAAGGCACAGAGTCCTTAATTCATTTTCAAATGAGGAGCTTCTATTAGGCAGTCCTGGCATTCCACCCACCCTCTGGGAACACCCTGACAAGTACTTGTGCTGAGCCATCAGAGAGATGGTTTTGGGGGCCTCCTCCATGTTGGGGTCTCAGGACATGGCTCCAGAACTTCAGGTGGGAAGCCCAGCACAATTTTAGGGATCATTTGTGCTGGCAATGACAAGACCAGGCTCAGACAAGCTGGTCTCAGTCTGCAGTTGCCATGTTATTCCAGTTTCCTTGAATTTTCATTTTGCAGTGAGCTTTGAAAATTAGGTATATTTTCCTGATGAGGTGTGTGATCTACTCTCTCCAAAGTACAATTTGATTATCTTCAGAGTGCAGAGATGAGCAGTACTCAGCTTCCCAGGACTGGGGAATTTCAGTGGTCTGAGCATAAACCCCACACTCAGTCAAGCCTTAGTCATTGTATTTCCCTCCTCATGGGTGATAGGAGTTCTCATCACCATCAGAAGCACCCAGGGCAGCTGACTTCCACTTAGCAGTGACCTCAGGGACAACAGAGTCCTCTGACTTCAGACTCCTCCTCTCTCCTGACCTTCTTCCTGCTTCTCAGAACTCTCTTTCAACCCTCTGTGCTGATTCCCTTCTCTCCAGCTGCTGAGAACTAAGGGTTTCTGACTCATTTTTGTCCCTTTACTGTTTCTCATCTAAACGGATCAGGCTTAAGTGCCACTGGATTACAATCTTCCTATATTTGCATCTGGAAGCCCTGACTCCCCCTAAACTCATATCTGGAATGCCACTGTGTTTGGAGATAGACTTCTTAAAACAGAGATTGCATTAAATGAGGCTCGAGAACCCCACAGGCTGGGCATCAAGCCTCAATACCTGGGCTTGGGGGGATACTTTGGATCCAGATTGTAACATATACTGAAAAGGTTGTCAATGAATATTTGCTGAATGAAGCATCAAACATGAATGAAACATGGAAAAGTGACCTCTACCAGTGTATGGTCGCATTCCCCGCACACCTCACATGGAAGTTTCTTCAGGAACACTGTTCAAAACATACAGTCCTCTCCTTGACATGGACAGTTAGTTCTTAATGAGATTTGACTGACTTTAAAAGACCTACTGTGTTTTCCAGGTAAAATTACAGAACACTATGTGTAGGTGTGCATCCTGACCTAAGAACTTCTGTGCCTCCTCATGTCCGCAATGCACATAGATGTGGCATCTCATGTTTGCATTGCTAGGTATGGAGCTCTTCTAAATTCTCTCACCCAGCTCACCACAGACAAGCTCATCATGGCTTGGCCACCATGCATGGTGCATCGCTGTCCTTCCAGCTGCCCCAGTGATGAAAGTTGCCAGGTTCTCCCCAGGAGCTCCCCATGATGGTTCAGACTTCACTTCTGGTGTCCACACTCCAGGTTCCACAGGCCATGTGAGGATCCCAGTGAGGCTCCCCACCCCCATGATGGCTTCCACCGGTGCCGCAAATGTGAGGTCAGCTCATAAGGAAGGAGATGGAGAATAAGATCAGTCCCATGTACCACTTCCATTCTGCAGAGGGGCAGCGTTACCTTCCCTGGGAATGAGAAGAGCAGGTCATGACACAGGGTCAGAGGGACCTCTGTCATACTTTTCCATCTGCTGCTGTCTGCCATTTGCCCTGTGTTGTCCATGTTAATTCCATCTGCACCCTCTTCCTGTCCCCTCAGAGACCTGCTAATCCTGTATCAATTATGTCATTTCACCTCTGGAGCTCATGTCCTCCTTGGGAGTAGGTGAACCCTTGACCTAGAGACCCTAAACCAGAGTCAGATTTTCAGCTTCTTGTTTGTGTGACAGCAAGTGAGGGTAGAGCTGTGAGGGACACTGTGCTTCAGGACAGAGAGGACTAAAGCCAGCATGGCTCAGCTGCATCCCAGGCCTATTCCCCTGCTCTGGGACAGAAGTGTACTGGAAACCTTCAGCTCTGCTACATGAGTGGCTCCCTGAGCCCTTGCTCTCCTGGGTTCTTCCTTTGCCCTGGGGCTCTGAATTCAGGCTCTGGGGAAGTCTTTTCAGTGAAAAACAGCCCCCATTTGCAGCAGTGGAACTTCACAAACAAAGTTGGTGCCCAGAGACCTCTCCTCATTTTTAAATATCTGGTTCACTTTTAATCAAGCAACCAGATCTGTCTCTCACCAATATCTCTTTTAACTTTTTTCTAAATTTCTTTGCATCTCATTAGGGTTGACTCTGTGCCCCAAAAGCTACATGCATCACTTTTTTCAGAATCAACCTTTCTGTACTTTGGGTGTGGGAGCCCACAGCAGGGCTGCATTTTCAGGATGCTCAGACACCATTGTATCTAGATCTGAGGGCCCACCTGTTACAGACTTTTTCATTCAGTTTGCATCCCAGGTAACATAAAGCAAACAAGGTTTTATTTTTATTTTTATATTTGTTCAGTGCTGGGGATCAAGCCCAGGCCCTTGTGCATATTAAGCAACAGCTCTACAGAACTATGTCCCCAACAGAAGACACCACCTTTAAATGAAGAAATAAATAAATAAACTGTTGTCCAAGTGTGTGGCAATGTCACAAGTATGAAGAACACATGCTTAGTAGCTGACAGAATGGTGAGCAGCAGAGAAAGAGCCTCTCCAAGATTTGGGGACTAGACACTGGAATATAGGAATGTGAAGAAGGTAAAAAGAAGTGAAATAGGACCCCAGGATCTGGGAAGGATCTGAAGTAAGAATTGAAGTCCATGGGGGAAGCAAAGAGAGAAACCTCAACACAGAAAAAGGAGGAGGCAAGCAGCACTTTCTCCCTGAGCCCTGACTCACTGCATGGGAGGGACAGCTTGAACCTGCAGATGCATGCTAACTACTGCTGACTTTAGAGGCCTCCATGGAGAGATGCATCAGTGGACTCAGCAGGCTGCAGTGGCTAGTGAGTTATTCAGGTTCAAATATCCCTTAGGAGAGGGCTAGTAGCCATCTTGGAGAGGGCCCAACTGAGCTCAGAAGTGAGAACAACTGCCAACTCCATCTAGCACCTCCCAGTGTCAGGGTGAAGCTGCTGAGCTGAAGTCAGCAGGAGGCCAAGGAGTGTTACAAAATGAACAAATCGGGTTCCAGCTTCACAGCCAGAAATCACCCTGAACTTCAGTGGAACTAAAGATGAAGCCTTGCTGGGATTATCCACTACCCAACTGTAAAGCTACAGCTGGCTTGCTGGGATTAATCAACATGAATCTGGACTCTGTCTGACCACTTTGTCCACCAGTGACAGAAGAAACACACTTTGAAGTGGACTTGTTTCTTTTCTTGTTTTTGTTTTGTTTTGTTTATTCTTGATTGTTTGTTCTTGATTTTGTATAAATGTGAAAATGGTTTCTATGGGTTTTTTTGTTTTTCTTTTCTGTTCTGTTCCTGGTTTTATTTCTTCTTTCTCTTTTTCCCTCCTGTCTTCTTCATAAGTTTTCCAAAGTTTGCATCATCTTCCTCCATCCTTGCTTCTAATTTATTCCTCCTGTTTTATTTCTCTATTTTCACCCTTATCCCCTTTAAATTTTCTTCCCTGAAGTTAAATTCACCATATTGAGGACTTATTTACTGTATACAATTTTCTGGTTTGTTTTAGAATTTGTTATATAGCCATAAATCTAATTCAGAATGTTAAAGGTGACAAATGAATAGCTACCACAGTATGTCATTTTCTAGGCTGTGTTTGATGCTATTGTTATAGCTGATTGTATTACTTTAGCCAAGTTTACATAACTGTTCTAATCAGTTGTTCTTCCTGGTATGCTAAGACTGAGATTGCCTAAGCATCATAAGCAATTCTACAAGCTAGTGCCAAAGAACTAGGGGCTGGGCCAAGTAGGTACTAACTTCTCATCCCCAATAAACTGAAAAGATATGATCTTGTGAAAGACTCAAAACCCAAAAGCAAGCAACACCTGGAAAACATCATTGAGAAATAGTCATTTCCCAAGGGTGGTAAATACTAACTAAAGCTATATAAAGCCATAAGCAATTTACAAGCATCAACTTGGGGATTAAATTTAAAAAATAGAAAATGAGAAGATGTTTAAGCAAGATGTAATCCCAGACTTCCAGCTCACCAAAGACAAACCTAGGGTGCAATAAGGTAGAACAATTTGAAACTCACCCACCTGGATTCTCTGAAGTGGTAAGAGCAGAGGTAACAAAACAAATGAATGACGCTCTAGAAAAAATCAAATCAGAAATAAAATCAAATCAGATAACTACAGAAATAGTGACCACAGTGAAAGACATGCTTAGTGACTCTAGAGCACATACAGATTTTTTTAAAATAGAGGAGCTTAGAAAAATGATAGAAACCACAAACACCCAATATAGGAAAGAAATGAAATCCATGAAACAGATTCAAACAGATATCCTGGATATTAAAAACTACATTGAAAATATATGCAGCAGAATGAGCCAAAGTGAGGACAGAATATCAGATATAGAAGACAAGATTGCCGTTAGTGATCATGAAAAGAAAGATTTCTTAAAAATAGCAAGGCAACACAAAAAATTAATCCAACAGCTGCTAGATGTTGCAAAGAAAAATAACATAAGATTGATCAGAGTCAGTGAAAAAGTAGGAGATAACACAAACAACATTTAAAAAACCTGTTCACAGAAAGAATGGCAGAAAACTTCGCAGGTGGAGAAAAATAATTTGACATCAGCTAAGTGAGGCATATAGAACTATAATTAGCCATGATAAAAAATCTATACCAAGGCATATAATAGTCAAGAAATTCAACACAAGAACAGAATATTAAAGTTGTTACAGAAAAGAAACAAATCACCTATAAAAAGCCTATCCGAATCACAACAGATTTCTCAACCAAAAACCTCAACTCAAGGAGAGCTTGGAGTAAAATAATTCAAGTGCTAAAATAAAACAAACTCTAACCCACATTGATATATCCCAAAAAACTATCTTTCAAAATTGATAAGAGAAATAAGATACTTCCATGACAAAGAACACCCAAAGAAATTCATAACCACTAACCAGCACTCCAAAATGTTCTGGACATTCTAGAAAGAGATAACAGGGGCTGTAACTCTTTGAACCCCAACAGAATGAATCCACCAGGCAACCCAAGCAATTAAACAGAGGGGGAAAATGGGAACCAGCAACAGGAAAATAACATGACAAGGAAAAGTCAATACATATCAGTTATAACCATCAATGTTATAACTTTGATTGGTCTCAATCCACCAATCAAAAGAAACAGAATGGCAGAATGGATCAAGAAGCAAGATACAACAATACACTCCATACAAGAAACATTTAATTCAAAAAGAATTTTTCAGATTGAAAGTCAAAGGATTGGAAACAATTATTCATGTGATACGAACCTGAAAAGAAGCAGAGGTAGCTATTCTATGTGAAGACAAAGTGGATTTCAAGCCAAGACTGATTAAGAGAGACAAAGATGGTCACTACATCCTTGTAAAGGGAACAATCCAAGAGGAACTGATAGCAATCATAAATATATATGTACCAAATACTTATGTACCCAGCTATATAAAACAAATATTAATGGATATCAAAAATCTAATAAGCACTAATACAATTGTAATGGGGGATCTCAATACTCCATTTTCACAAATAGACAGATCAACTAGTCAAAAAATCAACAATGAAATATCAGAACTGAACCAAACTTTTGAACAAATAGACTTAGTAGATGTCTACAGAGTTTTCCACCACAGAACACCAGAATACACATTCTTCCCAGCTGCACATGAGATGTTCTCTAAAATAGACCACACTAGCTCATAGAACACGCTTTAGTAAATGCAAAGGAATTGAATTTCTTCCATGAATATTACCAAACCATAGTGAATTGAAATTGGAAATCTATAGCAAAAGAAACCACAAGAACATCGTAAACATATGGAAATTAACACCCTGATGAACAACCAATAGGTCACAGATGAAATTAAGGATGAAATTACATAGTTTCTACAATTAAATGATAATATACAGGAGACCAGTTTGAAATCATGCTGGCCCGGCTATAAAATATTGATGAATTGGCTTATAAATTGGGTATTGATAAAATTATGTCCGTCCTAGCCCCATGTGACTTCTTAGATGAACCTTCAGATGGCATATGAAAGCAGAATTCCCTTATGCCAATGGTCACAATTGAAATCTCAGTGATCGATGACACCGTGACACTTCTGATAGCAAGATGACACTGCAGTTGAGGATTTTATGATTCTTTCAGATATTCTTCCAGATCAAACATTGGCTAAAAAAAAAAGACCTACAGGTCACTTGTTAATCACAACCAGTCTTCTGTAGGAATGCATTGTTTCTCCCCTTTTACAAGCCTAGTTTTCATCAGCACCTTAGCTCACTCTGTTTCCTACATTTGCCTTTACACCTCCTGCTATTTTGATTAATCAATAAATACTGACAAGTCCAGAGCCTCATGATCTTAGCTAAGAAGAGCTCTGACCATCCTGGGTCCCTGTTAAAACAATCCTTTCGCTGTGTCTGTCTTTGCCTTTTATCCTCTGTGGTACCCATCAGGGCAGC